TGTAAGTTTAGGACAGTATTACTACTATTCTTTATCTTTTATTTATTTACAAAATGTGAAATATACTTGGTTCGAGACGCGTGTAGTGATCAGCTCATAGTTTATTAGTTATTTCAGCTTAACTCTGACAACTCTAGCAGGGCAGGAGCCCTGCTTATATGCATGCAAAACACCCCACCCCACACTCACTCACTCCCCTGATAGGCTATTTACAAAACATTACTACTTGATTGGTTTATTCCAGAGTCCTGGTCAGCTATTGTTCTTGTGCTCCAAGCTCAGCCAGTCTCTAGGGTGATTCAGTCAGGGTGATTCAATCAGGGCTGATTAAATCCCAATACATAACAAAATGTGTACCCTGTCTTTTTGCCTTCATCAGGGCCACCAAAACAGCTGACAGATGTAAAAAAAATTAATAATAAAAACATGTCTTAAAAACCATTTAAACCAAACAAAAACATATCATTAAAACAATTCAGAGTAAGCTAAAATACAGAAAACCTTAAAAACAACATTAAAACATGGAGTAGGAAAAAGGGATCACTGAGGGAATGCCAGATGAAACAAAAAAGCCTTGACCCACAGTCAGAAGATAGCAATAGAAGGGGGTTATATTTTTTTTATACTATTGTCTTTAAAAACCAGTAACCTATGCAGCAAATGTGCAGTATTCCCTTTGATTGATTTATTACTTATTGTTTATTTACAAAATTTGTATCCTTATTTATTTATTTATTTGCTTTCAATTTGTATCCCGCCTTACCGGTATGAACTGGCTCAAGGCGGCCTTTTTGCTCTTACAAGAGCCACCAAAATGGCTAACAATTATAACATATATGATAGACTCACATTTTAAAACCATTAAAATCACCCCTCATCATAATTCATAACAGAATTAAAATACAAACAAAATATAAAAACAGCAATTAAAACATTGGTTAGGAAGGATTATTGAGGGAATGCCAAACGAAACAAAAGAAGTCTTCACCTGATGGCGGAAGATGGCAACAGAAGGGGACAGATGAATCTTCCTGGGAGAGAGTTCCAGAGCTTTAGTGCCATGTCTGAGAAGGCCTTCTCCCTGGATTCAGGGAGTCATGACCACCCAAAGCAGGACCTCTGAAGATAACCATAGCAGTCAGGTAGGTTCGTGACTGGGCAGTCCTTCAGGTATGCTGATCCCAATCCATCTAGGGCAAGGGTGGCCAAACTGTGGCTCGGGAGCTGCATGCAGCACTTTCACTCATATTGTGCGGTTCTCAGCAGGACGGCTGGGGAAGCTAAATATCATCATTGGACAAATAAATATCATTATCAATATCTACTTTTACCCCTTTTGTTATTACTTTTGGCAATCTCAATGTTAATAAAAAGCAAATTTGCATATTTTCCAATAAAAATACGTAATATCTGTTCATGTCTTGCAGCTCTCCCACATCTGATGTTTATTCTAGGTGGTTCTTACATTAAGCAAGTTTGGCCACCCCTGATCTAGGGCTTTAAACGTCAACACCAGCATCTTGACTTGTTTCTGGAAACAGATTGGAAACCAGTGTAGATGGATCAAGACTGGGGTGATATGGTCCCTATGACCCATTGTAGTCTACCTCCCGGTTTAAGCATTCTGCAGCAGTTGAAGTTCCCAAACACTTCTCAAGGGCAGCACTGCAGTAGTATAATGTAGACATCACCAGGGCATGCAGTACAGTGGCCAGATCTTTTCTACCCAGGAAAGGGGACAGCTGGCTAACCAGTCAAAGCTGATAAAAGGCACTTCTGGCCTCAAGTGACACCTGGTGATCCTGTAGCACATGCATCTTTTGGGGATTAAGCTTCAGTTAATTATCTCACATCCACTCCAAAACTGCCTCTAGGCACTGGTTCGGGGTTTCTACATCATATCTGGGATCAGTCGGAAGAAGAGGTAGAGCTGAGTGTCATCCTCATACTGGCGACAAGTGAGCCTAAATCTCCAGATGACCTCAGCCAGCAGTTTCACGTAGATGTTGAAAAGTACAAGGAACAGGATGGAGCCTTGTGGGGACCCCACAGGCCAAAGGCCAAGGGGATGAGCAGGAATCCCTCAGCATCACCTTCTGAAACCCATCTTCCAAGTAGGACTGAAATCACTTCAAAATGGTGCCTCCCAGTCTCAGCCTGGAAAGGCAGTCCTGAAGTATACCATGATTGATGGTATCAAAAGCCAGTGCAAGGTCCAGGAGAATCAACAGAGTTGCACTCTGACTTCCTCTGTTCATCTCCTGTGCAGAAAATCCACCAGGGTGACCCAAGCTGCTCCATAACTGGGCATGGCACAAGACTGGAAAGGTTCCATACTAGATAGGTAGTATGTCTGGCCTATATTTATTATACCACCAACATTTATCATAATCTTACAGCAAGCATAATAAGAAATTTTGTTCATCATAAAATAAGCTACTGCTGAATCTTTTGTGTATCCAGATTTTACACAATTTTCTCTAAAATGGGGTTGAGAAATTCTGAGGTAAATGGCTCAGTTTTTCCATGAATTAAATTTTTGTAGGGCAGAAATAGAGGTTCTGAGCAGTACATAAAGTCAGCTGTTGTATCCTACTGTATCCAAGTTTATGAACACTAAAAAGATGTCTGAAATAGAAGGTGAACTTGAGTAGTAGTCAGTCAGTTCAGAAACCTTTAATGGCATAAAGTAAGGAAAAATACAATGAATAAAAGTAGGTACCAACAGTAATTCCAGACATAAAAATGTTTTAAAGGTTAAAACAATATCATCAGACATAATATCTCAAACAATCTCAATCAAGAGTTCCCTGGCTTTGATTGAGTGGGGTAGTTACCAACAGGAGGTTAGCCAAATACTCTGCCACCATTTCTGTAACTTTAGGATATTTATCCACCAATAGATATTGAGTAGTAATATCAAATAATTTATAAACTGGGAAAGTCATAATGAATTTTGTGTTATAATATACAGCATCGCTATTGATAGTAGCATACAATGTAGAAAGAACTTCAATTTCCTTTTTGTTACTTTGGTAAGGTTCTGTTGGAATACAGATTTCTTCCTATGTAAAACCCTCAGATGCTGACTGGCTGGATTAGGAGCGTATTAAAGAAATAGTGATAGAAGCTCAGAGAACAATTGAGAACTATCTGTTCTTTACTGTCTGATCCTAAAAAGCTTTCATCCATGTAATTTTAAATCTTCATGTAATGTGTTACCCAAATTGCTCTATTTCTTAATAATAGATTGGAGAATTATGATATTAATGAGCAATTGGCATAACTATAGGATCAGACCTGTGTATACTGAGTTAGAATTCCCAAGAACTCAGGAATAGACACAAAGACTGGGTAGCTAAAATAATGATTTCTTTACTAAATATTCTCAAGCATACAAACAATAACCAAATATTCACACACACAATACAGAACTAAGGAAGCAGAGGGTCAGTGATACTACCTGTCCATTTCAGAGGTTCATGAAGAAGGGATTATGGCCTAAACCCAAAGGGTTTAGGGGTAGACTGCCAGTTGGCATCAGGGCAGAAGCACACGGTCTAAGGCCATGTGCTCATGGATATAGACATTGGAAAACAATGCAGACCAATGGGCGGCCCTGGGGGCTGTTCCCAGGTGAGAACAATAGATTACCTGGGACAATGATGAGTCCCAGGGGTGTGTGGCATCAGGATGGGCAAGGCCTAGATGTGACCAATGAGCTTCCAGAGGGGCAGAGTCTGGCTTTAACAATAGAAGCCAGGTGATTGGATGGCTGTACTGGGTTAGTTGGATGGATTTTATGACCATTGATGGTTCTACCAAGGCAGTTGAATACTTTCCCAGATACAGACAAAAGATGGGAGATGGGTCCCTGATTAGATTGCTAAACATTTGAGTGATTGATTAGTTTATCCCGGTATCCCAAGGGACAGAGCAGGAAAGACAAGTATTCAGACAAAAAATTACTGGAGACAGGGTTATTTGCCAGGTGGCCTCTGAATAGATTTTAGCACTGTAGATATTTCACCTGGTGGAACGCATTGTCATTCCATAAACATATCTCTGCTGGGTGGAGGGGGAAGGCTGGAAGTTTGCTCTGAGGTTGCCTTATTGTCACCTGAATATGAAATCCCTTTTTGCAGAGTACTTGCAGTCTGACTCTGTGGTTCAAGATGAGAGTGCTTGACTTTTGGGGACTTGGTTCAGGTTAGAAAGTGGGATGCCCCTGCTTTGGGGCTACCCAAGAGTAAAGGCAGCACCTCTGGCAACAATTGTATTTTTCTACTATTTTGGTGCATATTAATTCAGTTAATAAATTGAGATTGTGTATAGTGTGTGTGTGTGTGCATAGTGTGTGTGTGTATAGTGTATATATAGTGTATATATAGTACATTTTAAGTGGTAAGAATTAATTCAAGTAGAAAGTCAGTGGGATTATGGTGACAACCTCATCTTTTTCTATATGTATTTATGGCATATGCCATCTGAGGCTAAAACGTTGGTGACCTGAGAAAGGGCTGCCTCAGTCATGTCACCAAAACTTTGGAACTCCCTCCCCAGGAAGATTTGTGTGTCTTCCTCTATTGGTATCTTCTGCTAGCGGGTAAAGACTTTTCCTTTCAGTGGCATACCCCAAGTAACTGTTATTGGCCTCCGTAGTTCTGGTATTGTTTGTTTCTGTGTCTTCATTGGATTATTTTATTATTTTAAATTTTGTTTTAAATGGCTTGACTGTTTTAATGCTTTTATGTGCACCATCTTGGGGACCCTTATTGGGTGGAAAGGTGGCATAAAATGATTCAAATAAATAAATACCTTGGCAAATGTGGGCTTAAAAACAAGCATTTGTTGGCAAAATGTCATAACCTTTCCTCCTCACCTCTTGTTGAACACCATAAAAAAGGTAATGGGATGCAAAGACAAATTAGTATTTTATATATATATATGATACATTCGTGTCTTTTTTCATGTTTCTATGTTTCTTCCTTCTTTCATAGGCCAATAACAAGCCTGAAATTGAGGCAGCCTTGTTTCTAGACTGGATGAGACTTGAACCACAGTCCATGGTATGGCTGCCAGTGTTACATAGGGTGGCTGCTGCTGAAACCGCTAAACACCAAGCCAAGTGCAACATCTGTAAGGAGTGTCCAATTATTGGATTCAGGTACAATATATCACTTTATCAATAGTGCATTTTCTTATTCTAGCATGTTTTGTAGTAGAAACAGAGAATACTTTGGGTATTAATGGTATTATAATCAACAGTGACAATAAAGTCGATTAAGTGGTACTACTGTGCATAGGGCCATATTTGAGATAACTGAATATGCATTCTAGCCCAAAAAATTAGTGAATGGAGAGAACATTTTGGTTTTTTTAGCTTTCCAAAGGAGTAAAGTACTTGCCTTCTATGCCTTCTGTTCTGAAAAAGCAATTTTTCTGCCTATATTGCATCTTAATTGCTTTCCAGAGTTAAATAAAAGATGCAAATGAGAACTTGTCAGAATACAAAAATTTAGAGCTACAAGAGAAAGTTACTTAACATGAATAGGGTATAACCTTGGACCACTGGAAATACCATTATATAATGATCATTTCTTCAGAAAGAATCTACTTCTCTTAACAATATCTTAACCCCAGACTCTGAAATGTTGTTGATGGGTTTAGACATCTGGGTCAACAGCATGGTTACTATAGCAATGAATAAGCCACTGTGTTTCAAAATGGCTATGGATTGGTGTGCCTGTTCAGAATCCACTTAACCGATAAGTAAATACTTGCTTTCAATTATGCTCAGGCTTGTTTGATCACTTTGTTTCCTAATAACTGTTTTGTATGGTCTGTATGCTTTTCATTCAAGTGATTCTCTTAGCATTGGCATTTGTCTTTCTGTGCCTCAAGCAGCTGACAAAGAGCTTTTTATAACTCTTTTTTTAGAAATAAAAAGCCCAGATAGACCACTGTGGGTGGGCTATATTCTCATAAAGACACCATCATTTTGTCTGTTTTCTACCAGAGTGACTGGGTGACCTTAAGCAGAAATGCTGTAAGAAATTTCTGAAAGGATAGCTTTGTGCCTGGAGTGGGGACTAGCACATGGTGGGGAGAGGATGATGACACAGAAACACCATGTTGAGAAAAATCAGGCCACAACTGTATTGATTACAGGTTCCTCAGGCTTTGGTGCAGCATAGGCTGGAGACAGTGCATGCGATTGTCAGGCCAACTGCTGTCAGCACCTTCCCCAACCCGCCTGTTGGGGGTAACCAAGGGCAGAGGCTGGGTGTTAGGGCCGGAAGCAGTGGAAACCACTATTCCTAGCCATCACCATCCTCCAGGGGGGCATGACCAGCCCCAAGATTGGCTGTACTGCCCCCTAGAGCCCCTCAAGGGGACTCCCCTTTGGTCATGCAGGGACCCCAGCCTGCAGTATATTCCCCAGCCAATGCCTCAATGCCACAAGATCAGAATACAGACAATGCATAGAGTCTATTAATGGTTCTACATGCAACCATTTTCCCCATCATTGAGTGGCTTTCTGTCATCTGATTGTGGTTTACATAAATTCAAGTCTTGTGAGTGATGTTTATATGAAGCTTTGTTCTAGTGAATCAGATTGTTGTTTAAAATTGCCTACTTTGGATAGTAGCTTTAAGTTGTCAGGCTTAAGTCTTTCCATGGCATAGGTCAATTCGGGGGGGATCGCAGTTCCCCCGGGTGAGGTGCGGGGGGGGGGGGACACAACAAAGCCCCGCCCCCTGCTTCCACCCACCCCGCTTCCAGCCCTCATTCAGCCAGGAGGAGGCAGGAGAAGAGGGAGGGTAAGTTGCTTCCTCCCCGCCTCTCCCCACCCCTGCCTGCCTGGGGCCAGGGAGGGCCTTCACGGGGCTTCCTCGCACTCCCGCCGGCCTTACAGGTCCACCGCCGGGCCCCCAACACTTCCAGTGATGTCAGGGGGTGTGGCCTTATGGCACACTTCCGGTGATGTCAGGGGGTGTGGCATATGCTAATGAGTTATGCTAATGAGTTCCCCTAGCTCTTTTTCTACGAAACGACCCCTGTTCCATGGTATGGTATTTGAGACCCTTTTGCCTGCAGGCCAACCTGAGCTCAGAGGTTTTAACAAATATAAGCTGACCTGTGTTCCAAAGACATGGTGATTCATTCCTCTAATTGGAATGTCTTTCTGTATTTGCTGAAAACTGACTGAAGAAAGGCATCATGTAATAAAATCTGGTCAACTGATAAACTATAAACTTGACTAGAAAACTAGCAGTATGAACTCACTAACTTCAATAGACTTAGAAGAGTATAATGCCGTTTAGGATTGCATCATAGGCCTCAGTTTCCATTGCTGTGAAACTACCATCTTGAAGGAAAGGGGTGGAGTGAGTTAACAGACAATCTGCAGCTATCCTCATCCACACAACTTCTGCCATTTATTTCAAGGGAGTGTGGATTTCTGACACTGGCTACACAATATGTAGAAAATTAGACAGCAAACACATACCACATACCATTGAAATGAAAGTGATTAAGGGCTTATCTATGTACTCCTGTCCAATGCTCCCTCTAAGCTGCGGAGTCTTGTGAGCAAAAATTCTACTTTGTGAGTTACTGGCATTAAAGTTGTGAGTGAGCAATTTGGCTGCTGTATAAATTAGTTCGCTCTGGAGCCATCCTTCCCGAGCTAAGACAAAAATATGTGAGCTGGAGGCTAAAAAACTGTGAGCTAGCTCACACTAACTCAGCTTAGAGGGAACACTGCTCCTGTCTAATTTATTATTTCAGTAGGATTTAGGCATTCTTAACTTTCTCCAGATGAACGAACTGTATTGGAAATCATGCCTCTCACAAAAGTTTTCCCCATGATGACTTTATGAAGTTCACAATGCACTTGTTCAAGTTGGTACAGCATATCTACATAGCATACTTTCTACAAGAATTCAAGTTAGTTTTGTCAAGCCCATTACCATGAGCCAAAAAAAAGGCTTTTATATCATGTTTAAGGGGATTTATGCAAACCTATATCCTTAAATTTATAAGGGATGTTGAGACAATGTGAGATTTTTCTGGAACTATTCAAAAGCAGCATTAGAACAAAACAGCCAATATTCTTAATTGTTAGTTGTTGACCTAGGCCTTCCTTCAATACACACACACAGAGAGAAAACACGCTAGAACTTGTAATTTGAGACATGGACTCAAGAAATGCAAGCCCTGGTGGTGTTTTCTGTCCCGAGGTGTGCCATATGTCCAACATCTGGAGCCTAGGTGGAACAGAAAGTGCAGCCCAGAAGTAAATGCCCTGTTTATACAAAATGCACAATTAATGTTTATGCTGACAGTCTGTTTTGCTAGCCAAGGGCTGGCAACCCCCAGACCCCCAGGCATTGTACGATGCCACAACATAACTCTCTCACTAATATAATATTAGGCCAACAAATAAGGAGTACCCTGATGGATCAGACCAAAGGTCCATCTAATTCAGCATCCCATTTTTGATCATGGCCAGCAAAACGTTTCTGGGAAGCTTACCAGCTGCATGTGAAAGCCTATACCTATTGTCTACCACCCCTTATTTAGAGAGACAGTGCCCTTGAACCATCAAGAGCCAGAACCACCACACACTTTAGAAACTAGGGTTTCCAGAATCATCCAGATTCGGGGGAGGGGATTCTTCTGTCATTTTACTTCCTGCTAGTATCATTTGAAAGGAAGAAAGTGGGATCTAGGCAAACAATAAATGGTCAATTACCATGTCTCTTTTTCTATGGGGATGGGAAAGTAGAACCATTAGAGTTTAGCAGGAATTAACTTCATTAGATTCTTTACTCTCAATCATGTGCAGTTTCCTTCAGCATTTACTAACCATAACACATACACACACAAATCGCAGCTGTGTGTGGACTTTGTGCTCTTTCAATGGGGAAGGAAAACAAGACTGCATTGGCATCAGAAATTTGAAAGCAAGAAGAAAAGGAGGGGGAGGAGAATAATAAAAGTAAAACTGAAATCCTATGCACGCATACTTCTGTTGAATTGAATAGGTCTTAATTCTGAGTAATGAAGTAGTGGGGTAGTGTGTGTGTCTTATAAGAAACACAAGATGAAAAGAGAGGAATATGGTGTAGAAACAGTGAGAAAGATAAAATTAAGAGTGTAAGTGAAGGAAGAATAAAAAGAAAAAACAGGCCAAGGTGAACAAATGTTTCTGCACATCTTCTGTCGAATAAGCCCAGTTAGACTTAGAACAAGTAAAATGCATAGGCTCATGATGTAGCTGAATGCATACATGAAGGGAAAAGGGAAGGGAAAGTAAGTGTGTGCCCCCCGTTGCATTTGGTTGATTAGACTGAGGGGCAGCTGTATTGGACTGTGGTCCAGAAGGCATCTTAGTACTTTCCTGGCCATAGCTGAATGGGAAGGTGGTGAAGCTGCTCTTCTTTCGTTAACACCTTCTCTGCACAGCAGAATAGGATGACTGACATGCACCCCTCTGGGAAGGAGAAAAACTCACCAATGTCTGAACAATTCTTCTTCTTTGGTGGCATCCCAGTCTGCTTCTTCCATTGCCAAGTGCACTACTTCCCCTCCCCCCCCCCCCCCCCCGGTCCCTTTGCATATCATCTCCAGTACAGGAAGCACAGCACACCGATTGGGGATAGGGAAGCAAGGCACATAGGCAGGCTTGTAGTGGTAGCTCTGAGCTCTTATATGATGCCAGCGCTGATGCTATCCTTATCTGGGGGTTCAGCTGGCAATTTAAATCTGTTGGGGCTTAAACCTTTGGAGTTGAGAAGCAAAACAATTTACAGCTTGCAAAGTAGAAAGCATTGTAGGCTAATTTATGGCTGCCAACTGTGGCCTGGGAAATTCTTGGAGAACTGGGGGCACTGCTCGTGGAGAGGGGAATTTGGGGAGTGATTTCACCAAGAATCTCTGGTATACCATAGCGATTGCTCTCTGAAGTCTCCATGTTCTTCAGGGGAACTGATCTCTGTTGTCTGGAGATCAGTTAGAATTCTGGGAGAACTCCAGACCCCACCTGGAGGTTGGCAACAGTAGTCAGCATTGAGGGGAAATGGGTTAGCATTCCGTAAGGGGGAGAAGCCATTTCCACAGATGTTCTTGTAACCCTTAGATTTACTGGAAAGCATAGCTGATGTACCCCCCTTTGTGACTAGTTGTTAACTGAAGTTCAGAAAGTTAAGCTGTTCAGAAAGAGTTGTAAAGTGTCTGGAAATTTTGTAGCCACAAGGAAAATGTTTATTCCATTTTTAAAAGGGAAAAAACCCCAAAATGTTGGGGAAAATTGAAATATTTGTAATATTTCCTTCTTAATCCATTTTTAACTACAAAACTAAATGTATATTTCACTTATTCCAAAAAGATAAAGTATTTTGATGGAGTTTTTTTGTTGTTCAGCACCCCCTAAAACCTTCAGTTTTTCTTTTCACATCTGTTTCAGCCCAGAGGCTGTTCTTGGGACCCTGAGACTCTGGGTAGGGAAGCCAAACTAATTGGCAGCAGGAGGGATGGACCATTACTGCAATAATTGGAGTCACTGAGATTCCAGGAACAGTGGGAGCTTGACCTGCTGCTAGGCTTTACATGCCCTAAAATATGAGAGTGAGTGAGTTGCATCTCTGGTTTCCAAAGTATATTTAAAAACCTGAGAATATTTCCTAGAGAGGAATAGCATGTAGAAAGTTCACTTGCAACTTCTGTATAAGATACATGTTATACTGCTATTCTGGCTATAAATTAAAATGAGGTGGCCAGAAATATAAGGACCTTAAACAATGGAAATTAAAGGGCAGTGTTTAGTCTTCCAATTGTTTGAAACAGGCAAGACCTATCTACAGCCTGGCTCAGGCAATGCACAAACTAAGAAATTAAACAATGATGAAAATACAAGTTGAATAAGATTTCTGTGTAGAGGCTGTGTCTTATGCCAACTGATGTTGAAGGAAAGAAACCAAATTAATTTTGAGACTCCAGTATAATAACTTTAAAAGATACTCAACTAATAATATATGCAACAGCACAACTAAGAGAGCCAGTTTGGTGTAGTGGTTAAGTGTGCGGACTCTAATCTGGGAGAACTGGGTTTGATTCCCCACTCCTCCACTTGCACCTGGCTGGATGACCTTGGGCAAGCCATAACTCTGGCACAGCTGTTCTTGAAAAAGCAGTTTCTGTCAAGAGTTCTCTCAGCCCCACCTACCTCACAGGGTGTCTGTTGTGGGGAGGGGAAGGGAAAGGAGTTTGTAAACCGCTCTGAGACACCTTTGGGTAGGGAAGGGTGGGGTATAAATCTAATCTCTTCTCTTCTTCTCTTCTAATTATACAAGAAGCTGGGGAAAATAGTGCTACTCATTGTGTTTAGAGTTGCAGTATTAAGCTTTATTCCTTGACATCTGAAATTGTATTTTTCTTCTCCAGGTATAGAAGTTTAAAGCATTTTAATTATGACATCTGCCAAAGTTGCTTCTTTTCTGGGCGCGTTGCAAAAGGTCATAAGATGCACTACCCAATGGTAGAATACTGTACACCAGTAAGTAACCCACTTGTGCTCTATTGGTGGTTTCTGGGAGAAGGCATTTGTATATGTTTTGTGTAAATTAATGGAGGTTTGATATACACTACTTTTGTGATTACATTATCCTGTATGCACTTGGTCTTTCAACCCCAGTGTTGTACAATGCATGGTGAGAAATAATAGCAGTTGAAATAATTAGGGACTGTTTACTACTCAGTCTTGATATGCTGCTATATCAAAACAGTAGTACACTAACAAGCTCCATGTTTAATGTAATATAATTAATTTTAATGTGTTCTACATTAATTCTAGGATGCTTTCAAAATATACCTAGTGTGGATGATAAAAATGAATTTACAACATACGATAGGATTTTAAAAAAAAAAAAAAATTACCTGACTAATGCTATTTTTAAAACTCATACTCCTGTAATTGCATTATAAGCTATCATCTACAGAAGTGAACTCTTTGAGAATTAGTTAACAGACAGTGATTTTGGCACATGGTTGTCTGTATGCTAGTTTTATGATAATAGTTACTTTTTGTTATAAAACCAGTCTTGATGTGAGAAGTATTTTAGGTCATATGTACAGGTCAAGGAGTCAAGAAAATAAAACTTTTTAGCAGTCAGAATAACGTGATGCTGGAGTAGGTTACTTTGTGGAAATTAAGACTGCTTACCCAGATGTTTTAATGAGGAAAGTGTATCTTTCTCACACTGTGTACTGGCTGTGATCAACATTCACCTTTTCCACATTATGAGAAATGCCATGGGTACGTGGTCTGTCTGCTAATTCTCTTAATACATGATCATTGATCCATCAAAGTCAGTTTTCTATAGTCAGACTGGCAGTTACTCTCCAGGGTTTGAGGCTGAGGTCTTTCACATCCCTACTGCCAGATCCATTTTAACTGAAGATACTGGGGATCCTCTGCATGCCAAGCAGATGATCTGCTATTGAGCCACAGCCTCTCCAATATCATTTAGAAATGCAGGTCTGAAAGAAAGTAATCGTTTGTTTAATCCCTGTTGAACATTCTTCTTTTGAGGTGTATGCTGTCATTTAGTTCCCCAATTATCTCTTAAAATTACAGGATTTGACTCAAGAAAAACTTTCTAGCAAATTAAGCCCAAAGAATTTTAAGGGTCTCCCTAAAGGTCAAATTCTGTGTCAGGAAGAATTTTTCCAAATCAGCATGTTGGGAGAGTTTAATCACATTCAGTGGTATATGATTTTGGTTCTGAAGTGAACACCATTGGGGATAATGAACACAAGAGAGCATAAGAGAAACCATGTTGGATCAGGCCAATGGCCCATCCAGTCCAAAAGCCAGGTGCCATCAGGAAGTCCACCAGCGGGGCCAGACAAGCAGGAGTGAAAAACTGTGTGCTGTAGAACATGTTAATATGTGGAAGCTCCTACTAGTGGCTGGTCTAACTGATTCTAAGTGCTATAGAGGTCTGTACTTTCTCGTGTTTGACTTGAAAGATTCTTTATATGTTAGGGTTCTTCTATTGGATACATACTCAGTTTGCCTAAAAGTAAAAATCAGTGCCCTGAGGTTTTAATCAAAGTTTTCGAAGTTTTCTTTTCCTCCTCATTCTGCCTGTGCTAAGATCATGACTGTGTTGTATTGTTGTGCATATCCAAGAGGAGGTGTAATTCAGACAAGTCTGAACAACTGTTCTGAGAACCAGAAAGAGAAAATTGTTAATCTTCAAAGTTATAAAGTGCATTAGCACTTTCCTCTGATCTGTAATTGGAGGCAGTTGGATCATAATAGATTGACTATTGTTTCTACTTGCCTCTTCCTGGCAAAGTCCCAAACTCTTCATTAAAATTAATGTCATATGTAAAATGACATCCATTTTTTAAGTGACTTTTCTACTGATAAAGACCATTGAGAAACTGCAAATTCTAATAACCAGTGTATTGAATTTATTATAAAACTCAAAGGGGAGAATAGTCTTCTAACTGGGAAACTTTCTTCTCAAAATACGTGAAGGGTCAGCTCTTTTTGTATAAACCCACACACCTGCTTAGGTTCTCAGATAAATTTCTTCTATATATTCCCAGAGCTGGCCCACCCTTAAGTTAATTTAGGTGATTATCTTGAGTGCCACAACTGGAGGGGCACCAAAACCAGTACTTTTGGCACCCTGTCTGCTTGTGGTGACAAAGTCTGCTGCAAGAAACAGCAGCCCTGGACAGCGCCCTGGCCCCAGTTAGGTGCCCTGTGGTGAGCTTGATCCTTCCTTCCTTCCCCCCTCCATCAGAGGGCCCTCTTCCCTCCCCCATCAGAGCCCTAGATGGGCTGTGGGGTAAGGCTGTTTTTGCTTCCTATCCACCCCTGTTGAGAGCAGTGGTAGTGCTTGAGTGGGGGGTGACTTCTCCATAGTGTGGGGTGAGGGGTGGACAGTGATTTCCCTGCAGTACAGCGAGGGGGGGAGGGCAGGGAGCAGCTTCTCTGAAGTGCAGGGGGAGGCACTGAAGGGTGCCAATACACCTAGGACACCAAAATTAATTGGTCTGGCCCTGTATGTGCCAACAGGCACAAACCTTTTTCTGCCATGTTATCTGGAAAAGGGTGAAGAGGGTATCTTTCTTGCTGTCTTTTTGAAGGCAATGCCCCACAGTTCTTTTCAGAGAGAATTCCCTTTTCAGACATAATACAGATATAAAAATTTGTGGTTTGAAAGGCATTGAGGCTGTGTTTTATTTTCTATGTAACCTGGGTTATTTTTCCCCAAAGGATGTGTTTTAAGTAATTGGTTTGTTAGCTGCTTCTAATATTCTGAGAGATGGAATATAATTTTTGACTTTAAATGAATGTATTTATTTTGTTGTTCATTATATACTTATTTAAAATACTTAAATCCTGCCTGTCAACCAGAAGGTCCCATGAGTGGTTAAAAACAACAACACTGAAATAGAAAATACTCTGAAACCAAGGAAGCAAATCATAATACAGCAGCACCAAAAGCATAAACAATAGAAGCAAGAAATAATTCAAGGACAACACTATTTACAAAAAGCAAAAATTGCATGAATATGTGTACAAATAATAAAATACAGGGCCAGCCAAAAGAAGCAGTTAAATACACACACACACACACACACACACACAGAGAGAGAGAGAGAGAGAGAGAGAGAGAGAGAGCGCAAATCTGATCTATCATGACCCTGCAAACCCCTATTGCCTCAAGAGTTGAAGTACATTCCTTGTAAGTGGGGCTTGCATGCAACTTATATTGGTGATCTATATGCCATTCATAGAATTATGAGTCAGAACAGGCTTGGGAAAGTTAATCTTCAAATTCTGAACACATGTTGGCCAATTATCTCAAGACACACTGGACCCTTTTCACAAACTACTGGATTTCCCTTGCCTCTCATTTAAACATAATAAATTGAGAATATAATAGATCTGCAAAATACAGCAAAATAATACTGTTAACATCTGCCATGTTTATGAACATGCCATTCAAATTATATGAACACATCCAAAATGTTGACTGGACAGCTCCACATACGTTTCTGGACTTGATACTGAAAAAAGCTTGTACATTTGCTCTAAATTATCAAAACTGTTTGAGGATAAGGAGGAAGTAGTGATAGGAAGTCAGTCAAATGTTTGGATGTCTGTCTCATGACTGCATGATGAAAAACTCTATGATGACACACTATAAAATTGATTTGATTGCAATACTGCTTTCAGACAACTTCAGGAGAAGATGTTCGTGATTTTGCCAAGGTATTGAAAAACAAATTCCGAACAAAGAGATACTTTGCAAAGCATCCACGAATGGGCTACTTGCCCGTACAAACAGTGTTGGAGGGAGACAACATGGAAACGTGAGTACAACAAATAAATTGTTTGTCATTTGACAAGCTCCTTGAGCCTTCCCAGTTGGCACCTAATCCCTTTACCTCCGAACTCCATAACACCTCTTTAGTTTATTACATTTTTGTTTCTTTTGGTTAAAAGGAAAACACAAGCTGGGGTTCCAATTGCCATCATGTCTTTCCTCACCTGCTAATTCTCCAATAATTTAATGTTTGATTAGCAGAAGAATAATGCCAGCTGTCTTATTAATTGCCTTGAAAGCCTTTACAGTGGATGGGTGTAATTTGAAAACTAGTTACCAGAAGACTGAATTGTGTGACACCTTCTCTTGTTGTGGAGAATCCTTTTTCTGTCCCTACTTCAGTTTGATTTCGATTTAAATTTACACTAACTTTCCTCTTCATATTCCTTCCTATATAATAATCTACAAAAAGATTTCTTTAAAATCTGGCTGAGATTTTCAGTCAGTAGTAACTGCATTACAGCTTGTTTCTTCTATCTTTTTGTTCACTTTATTATTTTGGCTGCTTCCCATTTACATTCATGTTGGTCTATTGAATTTTCTGGTTTTTGGGTTTCTTTTTAACTTTCTGTAATTATTTTGCTGCTCGATTGTTTCTGCCTCTCTCTTCACCTCCTCATTTTTTGTCTTGCAGTCCTGTTACTCTGATCAACTTCTGGCCAGTAGATTCTGCGTGAGTACTTTTGCTGAAGTGTGCCACTATTGCTGCTGCTGCTGCAGTCCCTCACATTTCTGTTTTTTGTTTTGAGTTTCTGGTCGTTTTTTTTAAGCATATGTTCATTTCCCTTCTCTTTTTTCCCCTAGTTCAATTTTCTGAAAAGAAAACAAAATTTACTCCAAATACAAATTTTTCTCTCTAGTGTCCTATGCAAGTTAACCTGTTCTTGGAGGATATACTCCAGTTGATTTAAGGACATGTTGTTGAACAATCATCCAGCTACGTAAAGAAGTGCAGAAATCAAATGCTTGAATTTCTGGCAAAAAAAAAAAAAAGCAGCTTTGGTTGGGGAAAAACATCTACAATTTCATTCTGGATTCTCTATTTCCTTATCTCTGTGTGCTGATTAGTTGCAATTAGATTGGTGTGCTGTTTATTTGTAGGTATAGATTTCTTCCTTCAGTTGGAGGATAGAATGAGGGTTACAGCAGAACATTCCTGCCTCACCCTTCTCACTGGAGCCCAAGTCTCCACAAAGTGCAGCTCCAGGTGGATAGGGACCCCTGAGGAATGACATGGGGAGAGGTCTATAGCAGGGAGGGGAATCAGTGGAAACTGCCAATTTAGTCTGGATCTAACCCATTGGAAGGAAATCACTGTGCTCAGCTTTGTCACCTTCACCCCAAAACACTCGCTGGATACTGGTGAATAATTACAAAGCCAGAATTTCTAGCTATTTCACTGTAATTTCAGTATGATTGAGAATGACAGTACTGTGAGATCCATCCAACATTAATTATTTCTATAAGTATTTTTTATTTCTGCAAGGAGTTACAGTTACACTTTTCTTAGAAGAAATCAGTCATACTTAAAAACACTTCCTTCATCTCAGATGAATTGTGCCTACATCAGTTGGAGAAGCAAAGCACTATTAGTTTTCAGCTGAGAGTCATTATTGTAAGACCTTATAAATTCACTGATAAATGCAGATATGAATAACCATTGGGTTGGTATCTGATGCTATCATTATAACTTTGAGGTTAGTCTTACTTATTTGCTTACACTACTTAAATCACACATCTACCAAATATTAGTGAACAAAGACTAAAATTAGTATGTGAATGCTACTAAAAAGATTCTGAGATGTGTGGCTTCTGCTGTATGTTTGCACTGAATGACTACTAAAGTAAGCATTGCTAAAATTGTAATTCACTGGGTACACGTGGTACAGACACATTGTAAATACTGAAGACACTGTGTCAAAGGAATGTCATTAACACTGGGAACCGGGCTGCCATCAGGGAACCAGTTTTATACCAAATGGCCATCTGATAGTAAATTTAGAATAGATTATAGTTCAGTGCATTCTTTGATCATTTAAAAATTAACACACAGTAAATACTTGGAAATGATGATATTATGAAATACCATAACATGTTTTGATTTCTTATTTATGCAGCTAAACATAAACTATATTAAACATAGTCTCTCTCACAAAACAACAGAGTAACCTGGGAAGACACTGTCTGATGTGCTGGTGGCATGCAACCCTTTCAGGTGCTACATGCACCATGTGCTAGTCTTGTTCACAATCTTTATCTTTCTGCTTCAGTGGCAGGTGAGAGAGAACTGGCTGGGCTCCTGGAGCAAGCATGGGATAGGGGTTAGAGGGTCAGACTGGGAGACCCAAGTTCAAGTTTGCCATGAAAGGTCTCTGGATGACCTTGGGCTCATTGCCTAACTATCTCATAGAGTGATGTTGTAAGGATAAAATGGAGGTAGGGATAAGTTGCTTTGGGCCACCATTGGGAAAGTATATAAAATTATATAAAATAAATAGTAAATACTTAAAAATCTTGTTCTGTATGTTGCTTCACCTGTTCTAACCCAGCACATCTTCTAAGTAAGCTGACTAATGGTATGTGTTTGTCAGAACAGATGAACTGAGCATACCATCTGTGAATACACGCAAGCATTATGCAAAGAAAATTGTGTGTGTGTGTATGTATATAGATAAGATACAAAGATTTTTCTTTCTCACACACACACATACAAACACACTTAGACATACCCATCAACAGAAAGTTCTGTGTTGCAGATTGATTTGTTTGTATATCTCCAACATCCAGTAGGAAATAAAGAACTTGTTAAGACATTCTCTGTGGAATTCATTTGACCAGAGAGACAGCCATTTCACATTGCAGTGTACATTGTTCCTATTTTTAACCAAAAAATAAAATTTACCTTCTAATGGTGCTTGTTACAGCAGAAGCAAATGCACATTCAAAATTTAGCATGGACTTGCTTTCACCCCATAATGTGTGAGACAGTTAAATGTTGTTTTTTTATCTGCATGAGCCCTTGAAGAGCTGAGACTGGTTTTGGCTTTATAAAAGATATTTCTGTGGTATGCATGTCTGACTTTTATCTTGTGGAATGAAAGCAAGTACATGTTAACTTTTGAACATAACACTGCCTTTTGTTAGAAAGTAAAGCCATTCTTATTGGTTTAAATTAGGATGAGTCAAAGAATAGAGAGTTTACTTTTTGACTGTGAAAAGCAAAGGCAAGAAAATACTAGATACGTGTGAGATCATTATAAAAGATTTCATTGTAATTCAGGGTAATTAGGCAAAGTTAAAACATGTTCTTCTTCATGGTCGCCTTGTATCATATAAATAGGCTCTGTACCTGGGCAGCGGCTCAGTTCAGGTTATTCCAGAGGAAGGCTTTTAAGTACAAAATCTCTTTGATACTGAACCATCATGCATGCTCAAGAGGAGGACATATTGCTTCCCTCTATGTTCTCTTTCAACTACAACCTGCTACCCAGCAATCCATTTCAGTGCTATCGTCTTCTTGCATACCCAGAATGGATACTTTGTTCTTTTCTTTTTTTCAACAAAGCGAACAGCTTTATTGTAGATACGAACAAGCGCTTGCCATAAGTCATAACCAGAACAGTTTAACATTGGGAGCTAGGCTCCTTTTAAACCTTCCCGGGCTAACGTAGCCACGCCTACTTACAATTAACAACCAATGAGGTTGTTCAGATAAAGTTCAATGAGCTTTCTTCTTGAAGGATGAGTATGACAGCTCATCAGTTGTGTGAGTTGTACAAAACCTTGGATTTGTCTTCAGGCCCATCTGTGGTTAAAACCACTCACCTTTGGAAGATGTTCAGATATGTACAGAGAAGTTCATTCAGATGGCCACATCAATTTGGTTTGAGGTCAAGTAGTGATCCCGAGTTTTCCAACTCATAGATTTACAGTGCAGTGCTAAGCAGAGCTACACCCTTCTAAATCCATTTAGGATATTGTGCTTAGAATGGTGAAACTCTGCTTAGATTGCACTGTTAGAGGATCACAGGCTTGCGGTTCTCCCATGTTGTGGACATAGTTTCAAGTAGCCAAGGACTTGTTGACGAAACTTTCCATTAATCCCACTGATGTCTCAATGCACTGAGCACCTCTATAAGGTTTGCAGGAAGGATGCAAGTTCTCATTCTGCACCTAACTCTGTCAGGGCATAGTAGCCTCCAACTGACAAAGAATATTGGAAATTGGATGCCATTGCAAATTTCAAATTTTATTCTTCAGCAGTGCTTTCTCTTGCATGACCAGCTAGTTACCCTATATGATGGAATACAAGATACTTCTTGTGATTGAGGTTTATAAGATTATGCATGGGAAAGAGCAGGTAGAGAAAGAGGTACTTTTCTCCCTTTCTCACAATACAAGAACTCGTGGGCACTCCATGAAATTGCTGAGCGGTCGGGTTAGAACAGATAAAAGGAAGTACTTCTTCACCCAAAGAGTGATTAACACTTGGAATTCACTGCCACAGGAAGTGGTGGCGGCTACAAGCATGGATGGCTTCAAAAGGGAATTAGATAAGCATATGGAGCAGAGGTCCATCAGTGGCTATAAGCCACAAGGTATAGATAGGGACTCTGGGGCAAGTGATGCTCTGTCATCTTGGTGCTTGGGGGGGTCAACAGTGGGATGGCTTCTAATGTCCTGGCCCCACTGGTGGACCTCCTGATGGCACTGGTATTTCTGGCCACTGTGTGATACAGAGTGTTGGACTGGATGGGCCTTTGGCCTGATCCAACATTGGCATCTCTTATGTTCTTATGTTCTACCAGGGTCTCTCATGACAGAATTGGAAGCGTTTCTGCCTGTTCATCTCTGCTTAGGGATGAGTTTCCTCATCATTTAAGCTGCCATTTAAGATACAAGACCACGGGCACTTTCACACATGCTAAGTAATGCGGTTTCAATCCACTTCAGCAACCGTTTGCAAGTAGATTTTGCCATTTCACACGGTAAAATCCAGTTGCAGAGTACATTGAAAGTGGACTGAAGGTGCATTATTTTGTGTGTGTGAAAGTGCCCCACACCTTGAAGGTTAATCTCTCTTCATTCAACTCATAGTGAAGACTATCTTCAAACACCTCATTTGGCTTTGCCTATCTGTCTCCTCCTCAGCCTTGTTTTGGAACCTTCAGCTTATGGTTTCTGAACTAATGAAAAAGCCCTTGGAAGTCCTGGCCACTTGCAGCCATTGTCAGCTATTCATGAAGGCAGCTTTCTTAGCGGCCATATAGGAGGTCCAGTGAATTCTGCACTCTGCATTCTGATCCACCTTACTTGCAGATGCACAGGAACAAGGCCATGCTCCTGCACGAAACCTCTCATTTCTGCCAAATGGAGAAATATGTACACCCTCCTGAGCTTCCTGGTAGAAGGATGATATAAAAATATACTAAATAGATAAATAACACTGGAAAACAAATGGGCATAGACCAAAAACCTGGAAAAGCAAAACCTGATAGTGGGCTAAAGTTGGAAAGCTGGAATTTGTGGTGTACTGGGGCTGACAAAACATACCAGTATAGAATACACAGGAGCACTGGCCTAGTTTTCAGTTATGTCCTTACTGTTCTCCAGAACTGCTTTGTGCTGCTCATTTATTTCCTACTGTGAATGCAAAGGCATTTACAGTGGCAACAGAGTGTCCACTGGTAGTTTCCCCTTGCCTCAGCTTAATTTGCCCAGTCTGACCTGAACTCATCAGGGCTTGGGACTTTAGCAGGATTGGCAGGTCGATCCTTGAATGGGAGACCACCAAGGAAGACTGGTGTTGTTGCAGAGAGAAAACCAACTCTGCTCATCTCATGCCTGAAATGCCTCATCGAAGGAGTAGCCATGAGTTGGTTGCAACTTGATGCCATGTTCTTCTCCTTCAGCCCTTCAACATGGCTTTTATCCCATTTATTACTGCCAGAGGCCTTTCCAGGCTTTTTTAAAAAGGCAGTTGCTAGATCATGGCCCCGGTCACACGGGCCGGATATCGCGGGGGGGAGGCGTGGCTGTTTGCCCCGGGGCAAAATAACATGTGGTTGCGTGATCAGACGTTCCGTGGAGGTCCCGGGGGGAGGTGCCGATCACAGGACAATCCTGCGGTGCGGCAAAGAAGCAGCGCGGTGTGGCAAACGGGGTTTTTTTCTGTACACCAAAGTATGTGCATGCTCCGTTGGGTGCTTGTGCGCATCCATGGAGACTTGGGGGGGGAACCTTTTTGTAAGGGGACATGGGCAGGCACTGGATGCCACCGGAAACACGATCAGATGCCCGCCCTTGCCCCACAGTTACCGGAAACTAATACCTCGGAGGTACTAGTTTTTTACCCCGCATCTTCGGCGGGAAGCCTCAGGTGAGCCACGGGAGCTCTATGCTTCCCAGATGTGGCAGTGAGATCACGCCCGGAAAATCCGCCTATCTTCTGTCTCTCTAGCATGGCTAATGTTCCGTGTGACCGCAGCCCATCATACCGTGATTATGTGACCACGCTGTAGTGCAACCTATACTCTGAATTGGTACGTTTGTTTTGTTGGTTTTTTTAAAAAGTTAATCCCCATCAATTATTGTTGCAAACTCACAGCATTTCATTTTAAAATGATAGCTCACAACCAGAGGAACAAGTCAGTAGATTGTGGTAATATACTGCTACAACCTCACAATGGCATAGCAATCTAACAATTGATTTTTTAAAAGAACCGGCCCCCACCCACCCTCAGTGGTAAAGGAGAGGAAATGGTGACTACAGGGACTGTGAAAAGGAAAATGGCACCCATGTGGGTGGGACCTGCAAAAAATGTGACCTTCCTATCCATGCTGTATGTAAAGCCACTTTAATTGAGATCTTTCAAAAAACATTGTATCAAAGTAGGTTTGGGCAATATTGCACCAAAGCAGGGGAAATGCAGAAAGTGAATGATTAGGGGATGATGTCATGTGAATGCTCCAAAAAACCATGCTCCAGTACAGGAGCGAAATGGGATCAAAATCTGTGTGGAAACTACCCAAGTCTGAGGATAAATTCATTCATCAAAATCATAGGAATGGAAGATAGCGAAAAAACCTGGGAAAAAACCAGCGCTGTAAAAACCTAGGAAAAATATTTCCCTCCAGATTAGACAGACAAACTAGATAGGAACAGGGATATATCCCCAACTGACTTTGGCTCAGGAATTTAAACAGTAGTGCACCTGGTCTTCCCATTTTCTTTTTAAATAGAAAAAGTAGATAAAGTGCATGTTTGTTCATACTAGAGTAATGATCGATAAAGTTAAGTCAATACACGCCTAACAACTTAGATGTGTGTTGAGGGAAGCAGATTGCTTACTGATGCATTCAGGTGCTTACACAAAGTCTTGCATTGTCCTTCAAGCATATTGGCCACTAATTCATACAGTGTGATCAACATTTTGGTCCATGGACTTTTACCCTCACACACATACACACACAAAATAGGATGCTGATCTAAAAGCATCATTGTGAGTTCTCTATGCTTCAGCTAAGATTTTTTCTTAATAAAGTGTGATAAAAGCTCTGTTCATCTGTTACAGTGGATGCATGTACATCCTGCATGTATGTGCATATGTTTGTCTATAAGAAAGAACCAACACATGTTCACTGTACAAAGGAAACAGTACCTGGTTAAATGTGGGGTTTATATCACATGTTCAGCTGTACATATGTTGAATATGACATGAGAATTACTCAACACACATATAAAGAAAAATCAAGTGTACATGTGTTCATTGTAACATGAACTGGGCTACTGTAAAGAGGAACTGTACTTAATATGTACCACAATTAATAGTAAAACAAGCTCTGAGCATAAGACAATGACTGAAGCAGTATTAATGAAGCATACAAGTGATGTGGCTGTAATGAAAGCTTGCCTATAAGAAAACACTTCGACAAGAAGGTATCCACAGATCAGTTTTGGTCTTTATTTTTATGTGTACTGAAAAATCCTAAGTCTATCAGAAACTTTTCATCCCAGCTGGCTTTTGTCCATTTCCACAAAACATTTTCTTGCAGGTAGCTTGAGGAAGCAGACAAACTACTTGGGTTTCAACTATTATTTCCTATTTCCTAGACTCAAAAAGACATACTGGCGTGAGGCTAATAATGCCATCATGTGTTTTCCCTTTCTAAGACAATATTACTTGTGTGATTAATCAGTGTTTTCTGCCTTATAGGCCTGCCTCGTCCCCTCAGCTATCACATGACGATACTCATTCACGCATTGAACATTATGCTAGCAGGTATGAGACCAGCTGGATGGTTAAGCTGATCTTCCTTGAAATAAGTTTAAAATTGGGGGAAATCATCATCATCACACAAGCTTTAAGAAATGGACCAGGTTCATTTAAATCTCCAAGGACAGACAGTATACATATCTCCTGCTTCCTACTAATAAGCTTAACAACTAACTTGCTTGCAGAATGGCCTAATGAAGTTTAGAATGAACATACAACTGATTTGAATAGAAAACTCTGATGCATGCTTTCGGTTTAAATCTAACATTCGGATTCCATATAAAACTTCATTATATATCCTTCTTTTCAGAGGTGTGCTTTAGTGGAATCCCGAAATGATCATATTCCACAAGACAGTAGTGCCATCCAATTCCTTTAATTCTCTGTATGCAAGCGATTAGTGATATAGCTTCTGAAGATTATGGGGCAAAATATTTATCTAATGTGTACAGTAATCATACCACACTACTATAGTTAATATTTTTTAAAAATATCAACAGTAGAGTATTGGCTAAATTCCAATTTGAGGTGTTTTTTTCTGCAGATGAAGGAAACTTAACCGGGTTGCTCTAGCTAAAAGAAATCTATTTGAAGTCATACTCAAGAAGAAAAAGTTGTACTGGTGTTTTCTACATACCATGACTCAAAGAGGCATACATGTTTTCTCAGCTCTGATAGCTACATTGCCAGGTCTGGAGCAATCTGTTCAAAACTCCAGATTTGATAGACCTTTCATAGGACAAGGATAGAAGGCAGAGATAATTTCACAAGGCTAACATTAGGATAGAAGGAGGACTATGTGTATTTCACAAATAAACAGTGTGTAAACCTGGGATGAATGGATTTTAATATTAAGATTATTTCCACTGGAGTAGTCTACATTCATTATCCTTGATGTACATTCACAATATGTGCACATGCCGTTCTTGTATACCCACACCAGATAGATGCAGAGAATGGGGCCAGGTACAAGCAAGGATAATTTTTCTACAAACCCAGGCAACCCCACAGGTTTGCAGAAGAATGTGAAAACAAAAATTGGGGGTTTAAATCACTCCCAACGAAGGTAATGTTGTCTGCTCATGTGCAGCAGTCAGCTGAGTCTGTGTCCTCGGTTGCAGCTGGGGTGCCGGCTCAGAGACAGGCACTGCTGTGAAGGACAGCTCCTCCACCACCGCCTCTCCTTTGCAGGTCAGCAGGCCAGAAAAGGAGCAGGAGCTGCCACTCCCACACATACTGCCTGACCAAGGCAGAGGCACTGTAGGGGTCAGGGGACAAGAGCCACCCCCCACTGCCCCTTGAGCTAGGCAGGTGGGCAGGGGAGGAGGAGCAAGATCCCCCTCCCCGCTGCCATATCAGCCAGGCTGGTTGTGGGGATGGCACTACAGCTGAGTGGGCTGGCCAGCCTGCTAGCGGGAGAAGGCTGGGCAGCTGTGGAGCATATGGGGGAAAGCAGGAGAGAGCTGGAGTTAGTGGGGCAACCTCATTTGCAAGGCATGTGGCATCTCTTAGGGAGACAAGTGGATTGCCCAGCAAGGGGTGGGGGAAACAAAAGGATGGGACCCCCCACAAGTCTCATGGTTCCCTATGTGGCTTTATTTGAGATTTAATTTACTAGACTGCTATTAAGAGGCACTTAGTCTTTCATGTAGTTATAGACCAACTTAAACAGTAGTCACATGAAAGGTCATGGTTATTTATTTTTTGATTTCTTATGCTGATGTTAGTGTCATGATAGTATCATGTCTTTTTGCATATTTCAGGAGTGTCTTTAATAGGAAGGTATCTAACGAGATTTAAGGTGTCTGTCTTTTTCACAGGCTAGCAGAAATGGAGAACACAAACGGAACATACCTGAATGATAGCATTTCTCCTAATGAGAGCATGTAAGTGTATTATATGTGCTGAACTTAACTGTGTATATATGCTTTCAAGTTTCAGTATTGAGTTCTTACCTAGCAATGGCTAACATTGATATAACAGAGAAGATTGCCAAACAGTAATGTTAAAATATCATTAAGATCACTTTTTTCAGTATTTATTTCAGAGTTGCCACTACAGGCAACAACATATTAAGTGGCATTGGGTTGGGTATTTTTCTTAACTAGGTTTGGGTACCAGAAAATGAAAATAGTAAGCAAACCAGACACACTGATGCTTATACAGCATTAAGAAATCCTCCCTAAGTCACAGTGGTGACTGACGAAAGGTAGAAGACGTGCACAGAAATGTGCATGT